GCTAACCAGCATGTTTTTCCTAAGGACCTAATTTTAGACACATGATAAAACAGTCTTTATAAAGTGTTTATGTTTGTTATGGAGACTGTGGAGAGATGTAAGTGATGCTGAACAATTCTAAAAGACCTTGACTGCTTAAGGTTATACAACCTTATTTAGGTGGAGAGGGTCTCCCTCTGGAGATCTCATGACACTTCTAGCTCTTACCAGTGATGTATGGCCAACAAACCATAAGCTGTACTAAGTCAGAGGTTTTGTTTTAAGAACAGGAAAACTTCAAAAATAAAAAAGATTAAAATAAGGAGAGCAAAACATATTTCTATCTATTTTGGTGCTAAAAATATCTCTATAAAATCATTGACATGCTTTTCTAGAACAGTCCAGAGATGTCACATTTGTCAGCACAATTTCTGAAGGTCAGAACTTCTTTCTGATGGTCAGCAAAGGAAGCTTTAGAATGGACCAATCATTTGGAAGTAATGTATCAGCAGGACCAGAGGTTGTTTACACAAAATCCAAAACTGCTGAACTACCAGCTATAAGATTAAGACCTATATATACACCTTGAATCAACTTCAGTAGTAAAAGAGTGCTATGTAAGAGTGGACCACCAATGGCTGACTGATGAGGTGAACAGAGCATTACAGCACAGAACACTGAAGTGACAGAAAACTATTCAGGATACACAAATACAGACAGTGAAATGTTGCAGGCATCTCTCATAGCAACAGATTATTGAAAAGGCAGGTTCAATTAAGTACTAATAAATGAAAATTCATGTGCAAGAAAATATCTGCCTTGTGGCTCTAACAAGCCACAGTGGCACTCAGAGCCAAGATGCTGCCAGTATGGGTACTCTACAGAGATTGGGAGATCAGTGCAAGAACAAAAGCAGCTAGCAGAAGTCACCTATCCAGAGAGCCGAAGAATGGTCAGGGAACTAAAACCGGGTCCAACTCTGCTGAGTCTCTCCAGTGCAGGAGCACAGCAGGGGCAATAGACACGCCAGTGGCATGAAGTGCAGTTCTTTTCCCTTGCAGCAGACAACTCGCTCTTTTTGAACCAATGTTTTTACCACAGCTTCAGCCAACAGTAGCAGCAATAGAACCATGCAATCCCAAACATACTTTCTCCTTACTATCTGCTTTTGTCCAAATTCAGGGAAGTAACTTGGCACAGAGAGAATGGAGGGATCTTTCTCCCAAAGCCACACTTCACACCACCACCCTTTTTGATGTTTTTTTCCCTGCTCTGGCTGCAACTGCCAACTACGTGCATAATGATGGACTCCTAGACACTTGGTAAAGGGGGGCTTGAGCACCACAGTTTTCTCTAAATGGCTGAATGCTCACAGTTGTTGAAAAGGTACACACAATGTTTTAGAAAAATAATAGAGAATAAAGAAGAAAACATCAGTTTGAAATTGCATTAAGTCTACACTTAAGACTTCTTGTACCCTGACTGGGTATCTGATCATGGGATCATAGGTAGCTTCTTGGAAGGGACCACTGGCTGTGTCTAACCCAACCTCACAGTCAAAGACTAGTTAGCCATGCAGTGAGGTTACTTACGGCTTTATCCAGTTGTATCCTTGGAAATTTCCAAGGATGAAGACTGTACAACATTTCTGGACAATCTCATCGCAGCTTCATTATTCTCATGTTGGAGAACAATGGGGAAATTTTCCTTTTCTCCGATTTTTTTCCCCAATTTCAGATTAGTGTTATTCCTTTCAAATGCCACATTTGAAAAAGCTACAGCAAAACAGAAAAGCAACATACAAGAGTGACTAGAGATTTAAAATAACTTCCACACACAACAGATTACGTAGGTTAGGAATCTTGAAATTGAAAAACTGGTAACTGAGCTGATAAATATCTATTGAGATATTTAGTTGAGAATAATGTAGAAAAAGTGCACTGAAAAGAAATTATTCCAGTTTCCCATAATACAGGAATTACAGAGTACCAAATTACATGATTTGGGAACATATTTGAAACAGAATTACTTAATTTTTTCTAACAAGTTAAAATCATGGAATTCACTGCTGTAAAAGTTGATTATTTTTTCTTTCCTGAAATTATATAAATTGTAATTTACAATTAATAATTTATTATTATTTATTAGAATTTGCCTTCTGATAAGAACCAACTCAAGGTGAAGAAAAGGAAGCTCAAGGAGACCTTATTACTCTCTACAACCACCTGTAAGGAGGTTGTAATGAGGGGAGTGTTGGTCTCTTTTTCCAAGTAATAAGAGATAGGATGAGAGGAAACAGGCTCAAGCAGCACCAGAGGAGGTTTAGATTGGTTATTAGGGGAAACTTCTTCACCAAAAGGGTTGTCAAGCTTTGGAAGAGGCTGCCCAGGGAAGTGGTTATGTCACCATTCCTGGAGGTATTTAGAAGATGTGCCAATGGGGCACATAGGGACATGGTTTAGTGGTGGACTTGGTAGTGCTGAGTTAATAGTTGGACTTGATGATGTTAGAGGTCTTTTCCAACCTAAATGAATCTCTAAGGTTCCTCAGTATTGTAGGCAAAACTGCCATTCCTCGAAGGTAAAACAATGCTATTACCATTCAGCTACCTTCCATTTTGCTTGTGGTGGAAATGTGAGAGGAAGAGAAGGATGAGAAGCAGAAAAGTCTGCTTAGCTTTAATCCTCTGGTGCTGGGATCTCATCTTGCTGGAGGCCTGGGACCTGTTCACAAGGGGTGTTACTCCCTGATGGAAAGACATGGAAACTGATGGAAGACTGGGGCTGGACTAGCAGAGCCTGGAGGAATGCAGGTGCCTCAAAAATGGAAACAAGTACCTGAGTTTCTCCAGTGGTTTCCAGTGTTTTTTACAGCATCTGTATACAGCTCATCTCCCAGTGGCAGGTAACCCACTTTCCCAGAATCTCTTTCTCCTATACCCTCCCTCAGCACAAACAGGTGCCCCAACATTTCTCATCCATTTCAAGTTCTCACTGCTTTAGAGTGAGAAACTGGAGGAAAGGATGGAAGTGGCCAACGTACTTTGTGTTAGGCTTGAATTACTTTTCTGCATCTTGACAATCCCACCATCAGTGAATGTGCTAAATCATAAATCTCACTGCACACATAACAGCAAGCTACTCTAATTTCAAGTAGGTACTGTATAACACTTTTTCACATTGTAAGAAAAAATTAAATAATAAAATAAATTTTTAAAAGCTCACCAAAAAAAAAAACAAAAACAAAAATACCAAACCAAAATCAAACAAACAAAAAACCACCAAAAAAACCCACAAAAAACCAAAATTAAAAAACCTAAACAAAACAAACAAAAAACCCCACAACAAAAAACACACTAACTTCAAGGATACTTTTAAACTCAGAATATAATGACAACCATCTTATGAGGACATATTTCAACTTTTCCATACATTTAAAGTTTACAAAATAAATCCATCAGGGAATTTTGCACCTCCTCTGCCACAGAAAAGATACAAACAAAAAATATAATAATGACCTTTTGCAACAGGAATCCTCTTCTGTTGATAAATTCCTTACCATGGATGAAAACTTCCAGCAGGCTCTGTAAAGACCTTTGCCTAGAAATCCCCAGGCTGTGTCAGACAATGGCAGATGGCTTACTGCCAAATTTCCAAACCTTCCTAAGAACACAATATTCACTGAACTTTTTCAGTAAGACACCAGTGTTCATATACAGTAAGTACTTGCTATTTACACAACCCTAATATCACCTTAAGGGTTCTTTTTCCACCTATATAATTTCTTTACTAAATTAGAGGTAGAAGAACCAGGAGCTTCAGTTTATATCATGAACTAAACCCAATGTCTCCAATGAGATACCACATCCATGACTTTGAAGTGTCATTCAGGACATGACAAAAATGAATGCTGTTTAGCACTGTGCTGCTCTGATCTGATTAACTGACTCAATCTTCCTCATACTCACACAACAAAGTGAAGAAATAGGAGATCTGCCTTCTTAGACTAAAGGATGACTATTTGCCATGTATACAGGAAGAATTTTTTTCAGGCAGATTAAGCTGCGCACATCAAGAAAAATTCTATTATTTCCAGAAACAGATTTAAGACATTGCATTTTACAGCATAAAAGCTTATACCTTTATGCCTAATAGTTATGCAGTGGTGAGGACCTTAGGGAGGCCTGGAAGCTTCTACAGACTAACATACTAATATACAAAAAAATTGGTAACTCTATAGCCCCATGTAGTTCAAACAGGTATTTGCAGCTATTGCTGTCTTTCATGATTTTGTACTTTTTCAGGAATATATTTCCTCTGGCTCATCTTTTCAGCAATACATGTGCACCTAATGTAAGATCCAGTTACAAGATTATTGTCTTGAAAGGAAAGATTGCATTTGATACAGAGCTGTAGTTTTACAGAAGGCAGCCTTGGCTTTAAGAGCAGAATGCTGTAACCACTGTACACATAAAGAAAGAAAAAAATCATATAAGGGTATAAGGTACTCTTTAATGGATGTATTTCCAATTTTAGGATCACATATATAGGCTAATAAATATTAATAGTATATTAAAGCAGCAAAAAGTAAAAGAGTGGGAAAATAATATGATTAAAACAAAGCTTGAATATTACAATGGCCATATAAAAACCACCAAAAAGCTCATACTGCATTAAATACAAACCATGCACCATTTCAGTGCTGCATGAAGTTTAGCAGTAAAAACTTTTACAAAGCAGTGACATTTCAGCTGCTCAGATTAAAACCTACATGCCTTGCCCAAGTAGTGCATGGCAAAGTATCTACCATGTATTTACAAGTATTTACCAAAGTATTTACAAGTAATTTAAGAAGAATTTTTAAGAAACTTATGTTTTGCCCTTCACATACAGTCATCTAAAAATATTAGTGAATACACTATTCTGGCAGGTTTTGATGGTAAAAGATCAGATTTAGGCAATGAATTATTGCCCCCTGGTGGCACATTAAGAATCAATGTAATGAAAAAGAAACCAATTTCAGATAAATTAGCAAATATTTTATTTTAAGAATCCCGTTTTGTACAATTAATATCTGGAGGTGTTAAAAGAATGCACAGTCATTTTAATATGTATTAAGATAACAGTAAATGGGGTATAATTTACATTTTCATCTTCATGATGATTCTAATAAAGAATGTTATGTTTAATTATCAGTTTTGTAAAATGTAAATAATAACATACCAGAATAAAACTCTTTATCAGCAGACTGCCACAGCAAAAACTCCTGACAGTCAAGCAAACTACTTCAACATCTAATTTTTACTTAAAAGAATAGTAAGTCTTTTTAATTTTCATATAAATATAGAAAACACTTCCCGCATCTGAATCCAAGTGGGGCTCTTCTTCGTTCCATGAGATAACATCAGCAGGCAAGGACAGAGAAGCATAGGAACAACAGGATTTGATCTTATGACTGGCTAGAACAACAGCATAGTTAAATGTTGATGCAATGTTTTCCACATGGGTTAATACAGGAATTCATGTATCCTAATCCTCAAATTATGAGTTGTTAGCATCTCCTAACGTCTGTCCAGCCAACAGCCACTAACTCCTATTAAATTACTTTAATACTGCTTGGCACTTTCCTTACATCACCTCAAACTAACATGGCCCTAAACATCTAGTCCAAATCATTTTGCTGTTCCAGGTGAAAAAACTTGCTTTATCACAGTGGGTTTATACAATCTGTAATTGCAATGATAAAATACATCTTCCAGAATACAAAAAGGAGTGAGAAATATTAATTCCTCATGGAACTACACATATTACCACAGAGAAGTTACCAATTAGGTTATGTTGCACACACAAAAATGAGCACTTTTACATTTTAGTGTAATCACGTGTCCCTTCCATAATAGGAAAACCTGCACCTGCAGCAGTCTAACCTTGCATTGCAATACTGACAACCAGCATTTGCATGACATCTTTAAATGCACAACTCCCAATCTCCTGAAACACAAATATCTTGTCTTTGAGGAGCTGCAATATAGTTTTCCCTCTTTTATTCTTGTTGATTCATTAGAGCACGAAAACAACTCACCTCAGTTCTACACTTCTCTACAAGGTCAATTATTACCATGGAAATACTTGGCTGAAAATTTGTTGCTATGAAGAAAACTCCATTCTCTATTGAGGCATCTGATATATCACTGGTGATACTATAAGCTACTCTAAAGGAATGTCTAACTGGAAGGGCTATGAAATACATAGTAAATGAAAATTAATTCAGTATTTATTCAAGATAATAGAGTATTAGTTGACTTGTTTGGTCTGACATATTAGAGTATGAATAAAGTTCTTCATGGCTTTGAATTCCTCATACCAGACTAGCAGTTTTACATGTCTGATGAAATCAGGACTAGAAATTTCACCTGATGTGGGTGGGAGAAGCAAAATAGTTCATAATACTTAAAGCAAAAGAACTCCATGACAGACTTACCTGCTGTAGAAGAGAATCAATTGCCATAAAGAGCAATTAAGCAACAAATGGGATACCTAACAAGGATCTGTGTTTTAAAGACATGTTTTTGTCTTGACAAACAAGTTATCTATGCAACTGGCAATTTTGAGACTACTGCTGAGGCTGGCAAATGACAAGGTGTCAGTGCTTGTAAAACATTATCAGAAGTGTGGAGGAAAGGGCAGGAGCAATGGAACTGGGACTTGGGGAAGGATGTTGCTGCAAGGTAAATATAAAGGATTAGTATGGACAAGCCACATTTGATGGCTCATGTCTGGCCCTAGAGGAACATACCTTGCCCTTCACTCACAAACCTCTTGTAATTAACTTATACGTGACACGGGCATTCTGTCCATGTCTCCCCTATGAGTGACACACATAGCTCTAGCTGCCTCGCACTAGCAAGTATTGACAAAACCAGGGAATTTGGCAGGAAGTCAATACTAATTACTCTCACTCATACTTGCATGGCAATGCTCAGCCAGAATGCTCTCTCCCAGCTCTTGCTGTTACCTGAAGGAAAGAGAAGCCTCCCTCCTCGCAGTAACCACTGAGAACCCTCTCCTCGAGGGGAAGCCGCCTGAGGGGTGCCTGGGGCCACCGGGCTTATTCAGCCCGGAGGAGACGCCTCACTGCACTTACAGCTTCCTAGGAGGGGAAGAGGAGGCCGACCCTTCTCTTTGGTGACCAGGGACAGGACCTGGAATGGGAGGTTTAGGTTGGGTATTAGAAAATGGTTCTTTACTCAGAGAACCAGCGTTTGGGCACTGGAACAAGCTCCTCAGGGAACTGGTCGCAGCACCAGCCTGCCAAAGCTCAAGAAGCACCTGGACAGCGCTCTCAGGCACACGGTGTGATTCTGGAAGTGCCCGGTGCAGAGCCAGGAGCAGGACTCGACGATCCATGTGGGTCCCTTCGAACTCGGCATATTCTGTGATTCCTCCCTTAGCCCACGCTGGCTGCCGCAGCGCTCAGTGCCGCTGTCGCAGAGGGCGGACAGGGGTGAGGGGGCGGTTTCCTGCGCGGGCCCGGCAGGCTGCCGAGAGGGGAGGAGGGGACAGCCGAGCGAGGCGCCCGGTGAGGCGGGGCCGTCCCGGGCCGGGCGGGAAGGCGCCGCGGGGGCCGATGGGTAACGGAGGGAGAAGGCGGCGGCGCGGAGGGGAGGGCGCGTGCGCGGGTCCCGCCCGTTCCCGTTCCCGCTCCGGCGCCGCGGGCGGGAGCCGCGGCCATGACGGGCAGCGATGAGGGTAAGAGCAGCCCCGCGGCGCCCCGCGCCCGGCTGCGCTTCGGAGCTTCGCTGTGAGGCCGTCAGCGCGCTCTCCCTTCTCCAGCGCCTCGCCGCGGGGCAGGGGGGAGGGGCCGGGCGGACATGGCCAGCCCCGACAAATGGGAGCGCCTGAAGGCGCTGCAGGCGGACATGCTGCGTGTGAGTGAGGTACATGGCGGGAGGCGCGGCCCGTGGCGGGGGAGAGGGCGGGACGGCGCCGCAGCTGCGCTCCTGCCGCGGGAGCTGGAGGAGGCGGCCGGAGCCCGTCCTACGTCTCTGGGCGGGAAAGATGCGGCGGGCCCGGCAGCGTGGTACCCAAATGGGGCGCTGGGTGCTTCCCTCCCGCGTGACGCTGGGATGGGCTTCCCGGGAAAGGCACTAGAATGCAAAAGGGTGGGTTTTCTTGCCTGTGTTACCTATAGCCTCTTAATCGAGCTAAATATGTTGTAACTAAGTATGAGAAAAGGGGACTACAATGTGTTTTCTCCTCTTAATGGCTACAATCATCTTACGTGCAGCTGCCACTACCTTTAGCAATGCTATGAAGTAGTTAGCAAAAAAGCCTATTTTGTAAAACTTTTTAAAAAATGTTACATGTTTTTAGTTAATCTTGATGGTGCATACTTTTAATTTTGTGAAATGTTTTAAATGTATTTTTTTTAATTAATCTTGTCAGTTGGACTTAAGGTTACTTGATAGTATTAAAGCCATGAAAGAGTTAATGTAAGTTTTTAGGTGGGTAATTGAAGTGATGATTGTAAGAAGCAAATGATGTTTGCCACAGCTTCTTTATGTAGATACTTAGATGAGTGTATGATGGGTGATACTTTCCTGAATCAGCTTCTTATAAACCGAGAGGTAGATATGGTAATCATTAACAGCCTTGCCTGTGATGGCCATGGAATAGTGGGTGTGAATTCCATCTAGTGCAGGCACTGCCCAACCCTTGGGATAACAAAAGGGAACAGAGATGGTCTCACTGCTAAGGTGGACGAAGGGAGACACATGGGGAGACACAGCAGGAGCAGAGGACTCAGAGTGAAGAGCAAGATTTACCTGAGTAGACTATGAGAGTATAAAACCTTAGAGGTTCCTTTGCTGTGTGTCCTTCTTTGGAGGTACCAGCTTGGGCTGCTTCTGTGTTGCTGCACTGTGAATAAATTGCTTTATGGAGAGACATCTGAGACTCTGCAGTGGGAAACCTGGGGTTGAACCAGTGAGGAAACATGGCCTGGCTGCATGAGTGTGGTGTGTAGGGAGTCAAGAAAGCCTCCCAGTAGCACACTGAGGCAGTCCACCATGAAGGGGCTTCAGGTCCAGCAGTGACAGCATGAGACTTACAGGGAGTCTTATGAATGGTCAGACTGGGAAGTTTTCTTAACAATGGGATATTCAAGACCCTCAGCCTACTACTAAGGAAGGCTAGTAGTAAGGTACAGAACCTGGATTCCAGCTTACTCAGTCTTCAAGACTCCAGTTTATTCTGCTAAGAGGTAGGTTGAGATTTTTGGGGAGGCAGCTTTGGAAGCTGGAGGAGCTGAAGAGATGGGAGATTAGTAAGGAGAAACCTTTCATCGTGACACTTATGGCAAAAAGAACAGGACAGTCTTAAAGGACAGACTAAAGAACAAGAATAAGAAGTGCCTGGACATGCAGATGCGATGCTTGGAAAGCCAAAACAGTAGTGTTGAAACTAGCAAGGAATGTCAAATGTCACAATATTGAAGAAATTTCCCTGTCAGACCATGCAAGAGCCACTCTTGTCAGTCGCTCTCACACCACCTGAGCTGGGGGCGAGGCCCCTTTGCAGCAGCACCCCCACACTTGCACAGACAAGATCTCTTCACCAAATTGACCCCAGGTTTCCCATAGCAGAGTATTAGACATGTGGATTCTTAAAATAACAACAGCTGGAACAGGGACCCCAAACAAAGGAAAACTTGGGCTTGTATACCTTGAATTGGGTTCTTGTGGTCAGGTTTTGATAGTAGGTGGTGCCTGCAGGGCGGCTTCTGTGAGAGGCTGCCAGAAGTTTCCCCCATGTCCTGCATAGCTAATGCCAGGCAGCTCCAGGATGGATCTAACACTGGCCAAGGCGGAGTTTATCAGAGATAGTAGTAGTGCCTCAGTGATAACATATTTAAGAAGAGGGAAAAAAGTTATTATACAGTTGTAATTACAGCCAGAGACGAGTGGAGTGAGAATATGTGAGAGGAACAACTCTGCAGACACCAAGGTGAGTGGAGGAGGAGGAGGTGCTCCAGGTGTCTGCTCTGCAGAGACTCCCTGCAGCCTGTGGTGCAGCCCATGGTGAAGCAGCAGCAGCCCATGGAGGACCATGGGGATGCAGAGATCCACCTGCAGCCCGTGGAAGAGACCCAGGCTGAACAGGTGGATGCCTGAAAGGAGGCTGTGAACTTGTGGGAAGCTCATGCTGGAGCAGGGACCCGTGGAGCCCATGCTGGAGCAGGCTTTCTGGTAGGACTAGTGACCCTTGACCCACACTGGAGCAGGCTGTGCCTGAAGGACTGCACCCTGAGGAAAAGTGATGGACACTGAAAGAGTTGGAGAACTGTTGCTGTGGGATGGACTCATATTGGAGAAGTTAATGGAGGGTTTCTTCCATGGGAGGGAACTCCACACTGAAGTAGAGGAAGGACACTCCACCCTGAGCAGCAGCAGGAACAACATTTGATGAACTGACATAACCCCCATTCCCATCTCCCTGCACTGCTGGTGTGGAGGAGGTAGAGCTTGGGAAGGTGGGAGGAGTGGGGGAAGGTGTTTTCTTAAAATGTGTTTTATTTCTCATTATTCTGCTCTGATTTTACTAGTAATAAATTTAATTAATATTCCCAAGTTAAGTCTGTTTTGCCCATGATGGTATTTGGGGAGTGATCTCTTCTGGTCCTTAGCTCAACTCACAAACTTCTTGTTACATCTCTCCCCGACCACTTGTGGAGGGGAGTGATAGAGCAGCTTTGGTGGCCTGGCAGGGTCTATCCTAGGGTCTGTCCTGTTGTTAGGTGGAGGATGTGAGGTTTATAGGCTGGAGGAAGGGGTCATCTAACACCTCATGAACCTGGGAAGTTGAAAATCAAGATAAAGCCTTGCCTTTACCCTGCAGTGGTACAGGCTGGGGACCACCCTATTGAAAGGACCTTCAAAGGGGTTCTTCATGGACAGTGGGCTAAGTGTGCACCTGCATTGTGTTCTGACATTAAGGCATATGAGGCTGTCTTAGAAGGAGAACAGTAAATTGAGGGAAATGATTCTTTTTCTTTATTTGAAAGTATATTAGATTGCCCTTGGAATGTTGTTCCTGATTTAGGCCCACTAGTACAGGAAAGCTGTTAAACTCCTGAGAGAACTTGTTAAGCCACAGCCGCCCTTCAGTAAAATCATAGCATTGCCTGAGTTGAAAAGGACCCATAAAGATCATCAACTCCTACCCCAGCACAGGGCAATCCCAAAAGTCACACCATGTTCCTGAGAGCATTGTCCAAGAGCTTCTTGTACTCCGGCAGGCTTGGTGCTGTGACTGCTTCCTTGGGGAGCCTGTTCCAGTACCCAGCCACCCTCTGGGTGAAGAACCATTTTCCTAATATCTAACCCAAGCTTCCTCTGACAAGTTTCATTCCATACTTGCAAGCAAGTGAAGAACTTTAAAAGGTGACCAGATATTTCACAGTTGTACATGATGGGTGATTGAAAGGAAATGGCCATTAATTGAAACAAAAGAAGCAAGAGAGGTTGCAGCTTGCCTGAGCATCGGCAAATTCAGTGGTGTTTCCTGCTTTTGAGAACACAGTGAGTTGTGCTGAGATTTAAGGGCTGAAAATTCTGGCAGGAATTAAGGCACATGTATTCCATCTATCTAGTGACACATCTTCACAGTAATAGCTGTTGAGTTGTCAGAGCTGTGATGGCTGTAACCTCTAAAGTAGATTTGATTATTTCTTCTGAAGAAGCTCCCCCTGTACATAGCATTTTATGACAGTTGTTTTTTTACCTTTTTATGTCCTCAGGCATCAATGATCAACCTGAATGTGCACAAGGACACACCGCATGTGAAGAGTAAGTTGCTATGTGTCATGTGTGAAAATTAATCTTGCAGTATGTGCCTTTCTAAAATGTGAGTACAATACTGTAGACAAATGAGAAATTGTATTTAATATCAACAGAGCAGGAAAGATGCTGAACACTGACTGAAATGACAGATGTGAAGCAATACATTCTTTATAGTTTTTCCTCTTCAGATCTGTTGCAAGTATACCTTCCCACTGCTATATAGAGAATAATACATAGGAAAAGTGAGTTAGAGAAAACTGGAACAACATACTAGCAACTGGTGCATTTC